AATAAGAAGTTGACAATTGCGAAAATAGCAAAATGGCATTTTTTCAAAACTGGAATGGAATTATGAGTTAATCATCAATTCTTTCCACTTATTTCTTTTGCTTTTCGATGTGTGCAACAGCGGTAAAATTAGCCGTTGTTTTAATTTCATTCATTTATTACTGCAGAATGACAAAAGTGTGAAACCCGAAGAATTGCCATATTTTCATGATGAACCAATGAATGTGCTTACACAACGGCTAACACAGTGTAATTTTTACACTTCCCTATACAAATTCATTTAATTCTCATATTTAAGGGGAAAGGTTTGCGAACTCACCTAGCTAGTGGGTTAATGAAGTGAAATAACTTGAAGAAACTTATGGGAGTTTCTGTTCGGAATATGAGGTACCATCACTTGGTAATTTGTTAGTTTACCCGATGAGAAAATAGTGTGATATGATTCTGTCTTTAAAGTTCGTAATTTTTTATAAAAAAAAACTGGAATTTTAAATTGAAAACTCCGTCGTTTAATTTTTCTTTTTTTCTTTTTTTTGCAACTTTATAGATATTAGTCACTTTATTTATGGGTTAAATTACAGGTGGTAATGGTTGTTATCTTTTACGGCATTCCATTATGCAGTCAAATTCATACACGCTTATGGTAAATACTGGTACACATATTGAAAAATTTCAAATAAAACGAACATCAGATGGTAATTTCGAAATCGGTGGGCGAATTTTCGCGACGATTCCAGAAATTATTGAAAGGTAAAGTTCCGTTCCATTTTTTTTACGACTCGGAAGGTGATGTCTTCTCATCCTTCGATACTAAGATTGGGGAATGGCAACATGCACATGTTTAACGTCGTGCAGGAAATTTTATGATTTTTTTGCTTATTGAAAAAATTACTAAACGGAAACTGATTTTTCTACCAGCACTGTTAGGTTTGTCCAGTTGTCCAGTGTCTCTCGTAGCGCACTTCTGATGGGACTGTACATGAATTTTCTAAAAAGGACATACGATTAAAATAGCCAAACCATGTCGTAAAAGCTTTCGCTGATTATTCTGCATTTGATGTAACTATTTGGCTTTCATTGTTGATAGTTGTTTCGAATTTACAGTACCGTTGTCATCCCTTTCCACTAGACACCGTGTGACTTGTGTAAGTTATTAAAAATATATAAATTTGAAACTCATCGTTTTGTAGGTACAGTGAGAAGGAAATCAGCGAAGGATCTCATCTGATGCGTGCGGTGTTAGCAAATGCATTTGACAGAGATCTGTCGGGAAAAAATGCGGATAGGAAATTGCAGAGCTTAACCACCAACAATTTTTGTCCACAGACTGTTCTGGCATATCGACGGTGTAGGGACTTATTTGTTTTGTTGGTTTCTGTTAGTGGTCATATAATCATTTGAAATTTTAAGACATTTCGAGCGAGAAAAAATGAAGATTCCTCTATGAAG